AACGAAAAAAACTCTTTCTGTATTAACTTTTATTGAAGATTAGTACAAAATGACCGGCACGTGACATTCTCTAAAATCGTTAATTTACAAGGTTTTGCAGCACAATTAATATGGTCTTATACAATAATGTCTCACCAGTGGTTTCAGGTAGTGCGTCGCGACCTGAGCATGTCCTAACTTTGCTAGTAATTTGAAGCGCGTCGGCTTGGGAGTCGGGGTTGGCATCCCTGAAACCCTTCCACCATAAATGTTTCGGTGCCAAAATGGCCAATTAAAGTCGAAATAGAAGAGTCGCAGCGGACGCTATCAAATGAGATACTCCTAAAGCAATACAAGCAACTGTGCAGCTCCCCGAGTGGTCGCTGTGGCTGAAATTGCGGTGTTGTGATCGCTATTAGTTTGACTTTCGAGCACAGATTGGTGCCACTTTTTCAGAGCAGGCTCTACGGCAGTCTCCCAACTGAGTTGTTCTGGCAACGTTGGCTGTATGCATCCAGAGCCGTATATGTAGCGAGTTTTGCCATTCGTTGGGAAGTATAGGAGGCAAATGAGGAGGCCACATTGGCCGAAAACGGGCTGGGCATGTTCCAGGGCGTCATCACTAATTCGAATGTGGCCAACCAGAAGGCGGTGGTCGCGAGAAACAAACTTAATAAGTGCGTCGGAGTAACTCTCGGCGACTGAAAATATGGTGCACATGATGTTTTAACAACGGTCATCCAAAATCATGGTGCAAGAGCGCGACACGTGGAACGATCGACATAATCCGTACGCCAACAGCCGAGAATCTGCCGTCTGAGCGGTCGCACTCTGTCCGAGAAAAAGAGAGTTGAACGGCACATTGGTTTCTTACATCTTTCTGCATGATCATGATCGAAACATCACAAACACCCTATTTCCAACCATGAAGGGTTACCACACTTAACTCTTACACATTTATTAAAACCATATACCAACGTATATACCTTTGATTAAAACAGTTTCTCGCTACAGCCGCTAGGGGATTCTTTTCGGCTTCTGGTTGACCAAGAGAGCATGTCAAGCCCTCTTTCTGCGTCTGTTGCACGTCCTGGCACTGCCCGCGCCTCAAATCGACCAGACTCTCTCTATACGTGGCTCTGTATGCATCCATCTATGGTGACACCGCCTGGTTAATGCTTGAGGATCGCAGCTTGCACTTATTTTCCGGAATGATCTAAAGGTTTATTCCCACGGTGTATCTTGTTGGCAAATTAATGTCGCAAAACTAGTTTTCAGGAAAAAGATGCCCCGTGCGAATGCGACTGAAAAAGGTTGCGTGCACTCCTTGCTTCTGGAGAGCGATTTTGTTGAAACCTCACCGAAGGAGAAAACAACACTGCCAACGGCCGTTCAACATCGCTATAACATTTGAGGCAGAGCGAGGTTTTGGAGCCTGACTTTGGGCCTATCCCGTATCCGAGTCAAAATGGCCACACCCAAAAAGAATAAGGCAAATTGCTAAGCAATTGTGTTACATACGTGAAACATTCTAGCATCACAAACGTTTATATCATTGTTTGGCAGCATGCCTAGCCTGTTCAACCAGATGCCCACATTCCCGGCGTCCTTCATCAGATAATTTAATGTGTGGCATGTGTACACTTGAAATGATAAACCTGGTTATCTCCCAGAACCGTCTAACCCATTTCTCACTCCACCCCTGGTCACATGAGCTCCCCATTAAAGGGGCCCTGCAATGACTTTTTGACTGGTTTTTAATTTGCACTGAACCTGAGCGTACTGAACATAGGAACTTAATCAAAATTTTCTTTTCTCAAATTTCACTTTATTTTAAAAGTTATAGGCAAATTAGTTACAAAAACAAGCAAAAAATAACCTCCTTCATGACGTCGTAGGTCCTGGCTTGAGTGGCTGTGAACTAGAGGAGGAGTAGTGAGCTCATCAAGCGCTCAAAGCTGCCGCACTTCGTGTCGACGGCTCAAGAGGGCGCCACTAAAGCATGTGTTGGATAGGCTGCATAAAGCGGGCGGCCAGGGCAGCTCGCATTGCATTTGCTGCGCAACTAAACACTAATTCGGCGTAACACTTCATTGGCCATAAATGACAGCAAACATGGGGTAAAGAGCAGTTCAGAATGGGAGCCACTTCGCGCTGACGCACCGACAAATGGCCAAATCGCCAGCAGGGTCCGCGCCCAAGGCCTTCAGAACGCTCGGAACCGGTCGGATTCTCGAGCCGGTATACAACCGCAGCGCCGCCGCGTAGACCCGGGACCTTTCTACGCTCCTCGTTCATCGTAGCCTCATCCCACTATTCTTTCTAGTATGCGCCGTTTTTTCCACCGCTTGGTGGCGGGTATGTCGACGGGTCATTTTTTGTTTCCGTACTTTCTAAACTGCATTTTTTTTTTTTTTCTGATCTAAAATAGTGAACAAAAACTATTTTCATACATAATTGAAACGGTTCACGACACTCATATTTTGTATCTCGACTAGCTTTGACCAGTGGCAAGCCAAGGACCAAAGACGTCACATTTTGAGGCGCTTTCGGTACCGCGGGTCGCCCTCGTCAATGGAAGAGGTTTCCACGTCGTCCGGTTAAAATATGACGCACTAATATTTAGTTACTCTCTCCGTGCCCGCTGGCTTGCCTGAACCCCAAGAGACGTGGAAACCGCAAAAAAGGTAGACACTTAAATATGACTGCAGGGCCCCTTTAAGCAATCAGCATCGAGCACCTCATTCCTCCTCTCCCACCCACAACCAAGCAGTGCCGAACCTCGCGGCCACGCTTTGATCCAGGCTTCATGAAATGCGAGTACCTAGCCAAAGAATGTTTCATGTTAAAACAAACATGGCGATGCAACAGGCGGAGAAGCGGTGAGTATGGGCGATACAAGTTAGTGCCGAATTTTCAACAGTCGCGACGAGTGCAAGCACTGCATATAAACATGAAAACTGGGTGTAACTGATCTTTAAAGGGGCACTGACACATCAAAATCATATATTTTTTTTTTTATTATCCGAAACGATTGAAAACTATGCCGGAACATTTCCCTAAAAATTCAAAACTTGGGAACTCAGTATTTGTGAAGTAAATCAACAATTTCCAAATGCCGAATTTGAAATTTCCGCGCGATCTGTGCCGGTGCGTTTACGTCAAATATTGCGGAGCCCTGAGAGTCCACTTTCTTTCACCACTCCGTGCTGTTGCCATTGCCGGCGGTACGGTTTTGAGCGGTGTCGCCTGTTTTCCGTGGGAGGATACAAATCCAGGAGGCGGCACCACAACGGACTCTGATTTTTGGTATTTCAAAAAGAAGGGCCGTAGTGCGTTTGCAACTGCGTTCAAAAACATGTTTTACGACCGCCGTTATTAAATGTTATAGAAATGTCGCCTACAAAGCTTCTAAATTTCACGATTCTTGACGTCAGGGATCAAAAGAAGCGAGGAGGCGAAAAGCGGGAGAGGAGGACGGCAAAAATAAAAAGGCGCGCACGCACATGGGAAAATTTTTGTTTTTTTGCAATGCATTTTTTTTTTTTTTGCACGTCTATGACTGCAACGTGCGTCGTATTAGACAATAAAAAAAATAATACGACCCTTGGGGTGTCAGTGCCCCCTTAAGCGGTGCAAAAAATGCTCGAAATGTTTCGAGATTATATGCCTGTGCTTTTTTTACGTTCGCTGTCTTTCCCCGGTTTGACAGGCATAGTATCCGAGTGCGCCGAATGTGATGAAATATAGGGTGACCCAAGTCACCAGGATCAATCAATCTAAAATGGACCGTAAAAATCGACGCCTGCGTGTAGCAATCTATATTTTTTCTGTCAAAGGTGTATTTCACAAGTTGGTTTTTTCTTCTAAAATTACAAAGCGTCGCTCTCTTTCTGTAAAAAATAGGGTCAGGAAACTTGCCAGGGTCTATGGCGGGCGGCGACGGAGACGACCAAGTCGAGTAGACGGGTGTATTTGGCGATAGTATTGTTAGATGGCGCTACCTCCTTATCACGACCACCGTGGTTTATTCAAATGAATATAATCTTTTTGAAATGTACCTTTGGTTAAAAATAAATGCGGACAATAAAAGCAAAACCTAAAGGGGAAAAAAAAAAAATGTGTCTGCATAATGACGGCGCTTTTGCTGCCAACAGATTTCGTCTGCGTGTCGTCTGCTGTCTTTCGCTGGTCAGCTACACCCTCGGACGCTGCTCCCGATGCCATCTATCAATACGAACGCCAAACACACTTGCTCGTCTGCGTCGCCAGACTCGCCACCCGCCGTAGACCATGGCAAGTTTCTTGGCCCTATTTTTTACAAAGAGAGCTACGCTTTGTAATTTTAGGAAAAAAAAAAAAACGAACTGTGAAATACACCTTTGACGAAAAATTTAGATTGCTACATGCAGGCGTCGATTTGTACGGTTCGTTTTAGATCGAGCCTGGTAAGTTGGGTCATCTTATATATCTAGTATTAATAAATCAGACTGTCTCTTCACAATGTGCATACTTCATATCATTTCTTTTGATATTTCTGGTGCAGATAACAAGGTTTGGCGAAATTCCCGTGAGTCAATGCGGCACAGGTTTCGCGCGTCAAACTACGTGTGAACAGGCGGATTTCGCGGAATCTCGGTGTCGCTAAACCATTAGGCATTGAAAAGATGCATCGCGTGAATAAACCATTACACGCTCACGAATGCTGCAATTTTCAATCAAGCAGTTTCAAAACGCGCGGGCCCCATTTGACTTCAGAGTGCCGGTTGTCTCGGCATTACGCAACATACCCAGAGGTATCAGACCTAACAAGGTAAAACATGTGACCAGAAAACTCAGCCAACATCATTTCACATGTTCAGGAAGCACTTCGCTCATCATGATCGGAACTTCGAGGGAGTCATTTTGGCGCTAGTTCGGTACAGTTCGAGCGCGCGAGTTGTAGCAGGCGGCTATGATAGTAGCTTCTCGTGCAAGGCCACAGAAAGGCACAAGTTGTTTCACCAAGACAGTGAACTTACTTGTCGTCTCAAAGACGAAGGTAACGGTGTCGGCGTCGTCTCGCGCTTTGATTGTGATGATATCGTCGTTGGCGGCACACTTGAGAATTTTCGCCATGCTGCAAGCGAACAAAGGGCGTCAAACCACGACTCACGGAAGGTACTCGAGGACGATTACTACGGTTACGAAAGGCTCATTTACCTTCCCAAATTCATGCCCATGGAAAGATTCCGATCGCATCTGAAGTTATCGAAGCCGTCACTGCGAAGGTTCAAAGCGACCAAACTGACGTGAGAGTTGTCCATCGCTTGGAGACTGATGCCCGTCGCCGAGCAGTCCCATGTTCCCTCGTTAATGAGGTCCTTGACGGCTTCAAGAACCTTCTTAAGTAGAGATCCCTGCACTAACCTCGCCTCGAACATTTTCTTAGTTGACCGGTAGAATTAAGAGGTACTTTACAAACTTAAATTACGCCCTAACAACGGTGCACTACGTCGTCCAGCTTTCCCGCGTACACAACGACAGAAAGTGGGCTAAAAGCGCGCCAAATTACGCGCAATGGAACGCTGGGATTGGTTGGCACCACTGTGGTTGCCCAGTAGCGCTAAAAAGCCGAAGGAAGCCATGAAGCAAAGTTTGCTCTTTGCAAAATTGCATTCCATTGTGATAATAAACAGCTAGAAAGTTAAATCTTAGCAAGCACATTTATTGAAATTTTTTACCTGTACGTTTTTTTATAGACTAGTTTACAATTATCCAACAAACCAAGTACGATCCAAAGCCGCGCAGCCCGCTCCCTCGCCGCATGGGACTTGGTCGGTGTGGTGTCCCCATCGATATTCGTCAAGAAATGTGGAACTATTCAACGAGTTGAATTCACAGGTAGGCCACAACGTGCAAGTAAAGATGTTGGGAATATCACTTCGTCAGTGCGTTCCCGCGGCGGCGAAGGGGGCCCGGAGCTTCAACACATGGTCCAAGCCGCGCGACCCTCGCACCTACGGCGAAACCTTAGGCCGCACGCTGAGGAGGCCGAATTTCGAAAACCTCCCCCTCAAGCCCTTCCGTAAGAACTTTTACGTCGAAAGCGACGTGACCGCGTCGAGAGCGCAGCGAGAGATTGACGCCTTCCGGGCCCAACACGAAATCTCCGTCCACGGGCACGGAACTGACCCCCGTCCCGTGCTCACCCTCGACGAGTGCAACTTCCCGGAGCCGTGTCGCGAGCTTTTCCGGAGTAAGAATTTCACCGAGCCGTCTCCGATCCAGGCGCAGGCCTGGCCCGTCGTTCTGGGCGGCAGGGACCTGGTGGGTATCGCGCAGACGGGCTCGGGCAAGACGCTCGCGTACGTCCTCCCCGCCGCCATCCACATGTCGGACCAACCACAGCCGGAACGCGACGAGGGCCCCATCGGCGTCGTGCTGGCTCCCACCCGAGAACTTGTGCAACAGATCTCCCAGGTCGCGTACGAGTGGTGCGGAGGCGCCTTCCGCCTCAAGGGCGCCCCGGTGTACGGCGGCGTCTCCAAGGGCCCGCAGATCGCTAGGCTGCAGGGCGGCGCTCACATCTGCATCGCCACCCCGGGTCGCCTTCTCGACATCCTCGAGACGGGGGCCATTAACCTGCTCCGCTGCTCGTACCTGGTGCTGGACGAAGCCGACCGCATGCTGGACATGGGCTTCGAGCCGCAGATCCGCAAGATCGTCGACCAGACCCGTCCGGACCGGCAGACGGTCATGTGGAGCGCCACTTGGCCCAGCGAGGTGCGCGACCTGGCTGAAGAGTTCCTCACCGACCACGTCCAGATAACGGTCGGCTCCGAAGACCTCTGCGCCAACCACAACATCCGACAGGTTGTGCACGTCTGCCAGGGGTTTGAGAAGGAGGAAAAGCTCCTGGAGACTCTACGCGAGATCAATGCAGAAGGCGACCAGCGCACGCTCATCTTCGTCGCGACCAAGGCCCGTGTGGTAACCATAGTGCAGAACCTGTACAAGAATGGCTTCCGGGCGGTCGCCACCCACGGAGACCTCTCCCAGAACAAGCGAGACATTGCCTTGGACCGCTTCCGAAGCGGCAAGACTCCAATTTTGGTCGCCACCGACGTGGCTGCCAGAGGGCTGGACGTGAGCGACATCAAGTACGTCATCAACTACGACTACCCGGACACCTCAGAGAGCTATGTCCATCGTATTGGTCGCACTGGAAGGAGTAATCGCTCAGGAACGGCCATCACTCTGTTCACACCGGACAATGCCGGCCAGGCGAAGCAGCTGGTCTCGGTGTTGCAGGAAGCCAAGCAGGAAGTTAATCCGGAGCTGTTGGAGTTGGTGGATCGGCAAGTGTCTCAGAAGTTTGCCAACAGGCGGAGGAGGCCGGCGCAACAGAGCTGGGACAGGCGGCCACAGCACCGCCAGGGAGATCGCTTCGGAGACTACGCCCAAGAAACCAGAGGCTGGGGCTAACATGGCACCTGCAGAGTTGTGTCTTGACGGGAGACTTATGTCACATAGATGGGCCAGGATGCTGAATCATTTCCACCTTATGTTAGTTTGAATCACGATATCTCTGGAAAGCTTACGACTGTTAGCAAGTTTGTAAACATTGTCCTGGCTTATAGCTACCTCTCTGTGTTTGGTAGGTTCTTAGCCATAGCCATCAGAAACCAGCATTTTTTAGTGCTGTATAATTAAAAAAATAAATCTATGTAACCTGTTCTAATTTGATTTTATTTCCTTGCTTGGCCATGAAACCCGGTTTGACTGCATACTAACATTTTCATATGGGCTGCTCAGAATTCAAGATTCATATAGTGTTGAACAAATTAATATAAACAGCCAAGTTGCAGTCATTTTGTTAGAAATGCATGAATACTATCAGTATGCTACGATCTTGGAGAGAAGTGGGGCACAATATATGTTTTCAAGACCAAGTAGCACACAGCAGAGAACTCGCTTTACACTCGATAACATAAAAGCTCGTAAGCACAACTTGCAAACTGGAAAGAAAGCTGCCATCTATGAAATTCAGGAGAAAGTCCAGATGACAGTTTATTTATTAGTAATTTATTGGTAGCGAGCGGGCTAACCTGCCATCCTACCTAAATCTTCCCTCCTCTTTTTGAGACGCTTAAGTCAGTCTCAATGGAGGCGGACCCATGCTTTAACCCCTGTCACCACAGCCATTTTTTATTTTTTTTTAGGAAGAAAGTGTTAACTTCTTGTTTACTAATTCTTTATTCAAAGAACACACAGCAAGATTTCATTTTAAATGTTCAATTCACATTAAAATAAGACATTTTCTTAACTTTCAGGTGTGGTATCTTGCTCTAAATCAAGACTTCTGGTCGGAGTCCCACCAAAGTTGATAAAAATGCTTGCGGGATCACATTGTTTTCCTCACTCCTGTCACTGTCCATCCTGTCCATCGAACTATTGTCAGATTCCAAAAAATCAAAAAGGCTGCAGTACTCATTGTTACATATGCCCGAGCATTAGTCACTTTAAAAAGGGTTTTGCATCTCTTCGTCAGCTGAAGTCAACGTTACTAGAACCCCTCAGTTGGGAAACTGCCATAGAGCCTGCTTTAAAAAAGTGGCTCCAATCCGTACTCGGGAACCGAGCTAATGGCGATCGCAACGCCGCCATTTCTCCCGCAGCGTCCACTCCGGGAACTGCACGGTTGCACGTTGAGTCGGGCAAGGGCCAATGGCACCATCTCGCAGTAGCCATGTAAAGCAGCTTTCGTGTTTCAACTCGTCGCTAAAAGGTGGCGCTGTTATCGTATTTAGCTTGGTCTTGGTGGACGCCAGCGGCCCAGGTTTCAAGGGCGAGTTTCCCAACTGAGGGTTTTAGTAACATTGGCTGAAGTGGACCTCCATGCCAAAGCCACATTGATTTAGTGTCAATGCTTACAAGCAAACACTTTTTTTTTTCTTGGTTGAATGGAGCTTTTCTTTTTTTTTTTGTCGAACGGCAGAGCAAACAAGAAACCAAGCCAAGGTAAATGGAGCACCAGGGTTGGTTCTGCCATCTGCGGGAGAATGCAATAAACAAGATTCGAAACCGAAACAAGTCACAATTGTGGTCGGGCTTTATTTTCTGCAAGGGAAGGCATGAGCGACACCAGTTTTCGGTAGCCATTAACTACAGGCAATGGTCAGTTTTCAGAAAAGGTGCCTCCAAACCCTTTCTGAAAAGACAACAATGTATGAAGTCTTGTTGCAATGACACTAAACCTGCACCTTGCATTGGTATTTTTAAGGAAGGACACTACTCAGAAAGAAAAAAGTTTCTGCAAAAAAAGGTTGATTTTTAAAAATCCCAAATTTACATCCACCAACACCTAAGGAGCATTTACAGAAAGTTTTGCGTTTACACTGCAGTTATTTTTTAAGAAAATAATAATTTCGGTCTACCTATAAAAGGTAGAGGTTCATTCTGTTCCACTTTCTGGCATAAATTTTACTTTCATAAAACTTGTTTCAGTATGAAAATATCGAAACTTCGTGTTTGTGGCTTATATGCCGAAATTTTATGGAGCTGGTCACTATGAACTTAACTTTTGCATTTTCATGTTTTTTTATTATGAAGAATCTTAATTTGCTAAATTTGGTAAATAAAAAAAATCGTAAAAGTTTTATTTGGAAATTGCATATTTTTTAAAATTTCTTCTCGCAGCAACCGGCAACAAGTATTCCGGTATGCATTCCACCAGAACAATATGTAGTTATCAACACCATTTCACGATGGATTCACTGGGAAGATTCCATGCAAAGCTATGCTTTACTTTGTTCTGGGGGTATAGTACCTCATATTGGTTCACAGGGCTGAAACTTTGCATGCCCTTCTTCTATATGGCTACAAGCACCACCTGAAAATATCATGCTGATTGAGTGAGCGGTTCAGAAGTTGACATTCCCAGGTAGCATTCCCCCTTAAAGGGATGCTGAACCAAAATATGAATTTTGCAAAATAAGGCCGTAGAAGTGTTGAACAGGACGCTGCGAACTCCGAAACATCACTCGTACATCGATATCTCAAACAGATCGGCGTATATTGGGAAAAGAAAAGTGCAATCAAGCGAGGAATGCGACGTCACGATTCTCTGAACAGGTGAGAATGAGGGGAAGTGTCCCCGCTTCCCTCCTCCTCGCCTTGGTTCCCCTGCTCGAGAGAACAAAGCGAAGCGGAGAGGGAACGAGAATCGGCAACGTCGCGTCTCGTCGGCAGTGTTGTTGCGCACTTTTCCAAACATATGGCCAACAGCGATGTCGCCGTACGAGTGATGATTTTCGGTTTTGCAGCTTCCCCGGCTATCGCTCTGGCATTGTTTTGCGAGCTTACAATTTCGGTTCAGCATCCCTTCCAGTTAATTTCCCGCGGCTGAACATGTATTCAATTCGCCAGAGCAGTAAAAAAACAGTCGAACACTGCAGGTAACTGACAAGTCTTTATTAAGGCGTCAAAATAAATAATAAAAAAAAAGGAATATTAATGGCAGATGTCTGCAGAGACTAGACCTCTAGAGTTCGCCAAGCCCCAAGCTGTAGGGATCAACATCGAGGTTGTGCTCTGCTACGTAACTGAAAAAAAAAACAAGATCGGATGAGACCTTCTTCCTTCAATTGAGCAGGCCTCGAACTCACTCAGCAATGTCGTCTTCAATAGCCTTGCGAGCTTTGCGGAGTCTCACCAACTTTCGCTTTTCCTGGTGAAGAAACATTTAAAAAAAAGAAATAACAATGAGTGAGTTGAGGTTTGGAACAAAATAGGCAGACAATTTTGTCACTGTCTGCTTTGGCAGCCGATGCCCTCCAATCTGTGGTGTACAGAACGCCGTTTCTTTTAGAAGGAACCGGGGTAATGGCATCATTACATTTTACATCTAGTTATTGTATATTTATAATGTACCCGCTGCAGTTCTACGCATTCATGGTAGAACGAATGCTTAATGGAAGAAGGGAATAGGATCGTTTTTGATACCAGTGGCACCCGGGACACCACCCCGGGTGCTGCTGGCCCTAGTGATGCCACTGCCCCCTGTACAAACAGCATTAGTGTAGCTTTCACTGCTTTTTATTTAAAGAAATCTGTCAAGCCTAAGAAAAAACACCCTTCTATGTATTGTGAAAAAAAAAGAAAAAAAAATATTTACCGTAGAATATCGCGTGTCCACCCATTCCACATTAAGCGCCCATTCCCAAATTTGTAAGATCTGAGGAAATATGTGCAGTACATTTATATGCAAAATTGATGACCCGACAAGCGCCCAACCCCCCTACCCTCGCAATTATTTCTGACTTGGGAGTGGGCACCTGCCCGGTATTTTACGGTATATGAAATGGTAAGGGAAGCTCCTTTAGTGGGGGACTGCATCTTACCTTGTGTATCTCTACTACGGCCGCACGATATCCCCGAATGTCATCGAGCTGAGTAAGAAAGAGGAAGAGGACACAGTAAGTCATGTGCAATTGTTACATCAAACTACACCCACTTACGTATTTGATTATGTCGCCTTCTGCACGGGCCTGGAAGCTGCGCAGGACTTCCTTTGCGGCTTCAGATTTTGCCTGTGCACTGTAACAAAGAGAATGAATATGAGTAGTACCTAAGGTATGCAGAAAAAATATAGCACTCCTGCATCAATCTACAGTAAAGTCACAGAGATAGCTGCGAAAAGTCACGGCAAATTCGTTGGGTATCGGTGTCGAACAAAAGCGTTTGGAACAAAATACTAGACATCGGAGCATGTTGTTCCGAACACCTTTGTTTCCAGTTTGATCCGAAGTGCGTGAAAGCGTGTCTCGTGGCGAGAGCTTTTGGCATTGACAGTACTACAATGGCATCTTGTTATCGGCTATTTTTATTTTTCCAGAGAACGTGTGCAGTGGGAATCGGATACATAAAATTCCCCAAGTTTGAAGCGGCTTGTTCACTCTGTGGCGTAGCTCAGTGGTAATGTCTCTGCTTCGCACGTGGCAGACCCAGGTTCGATTCCCGTGGGCAGCGGCGGGCGGGCAATCTTTTAAGAATTTCTCAACAGCGACGGAGGACGCCCGACATCGCCAACTACAACATTAGCTACTACATCATCATCATCGATTGTCATTTCCATTTGTGGGAAGAGCCCGTAACAGCTGCCGCTGTAAGAGAGTGGATGCTAATGATAGTAAAAACACAGAATGAACAGTAACAACTGAAACCATATGAAGTAGTGTGTATGCAACCAGCAAATACCGAAACTGCCTGTGGAGAAGCTAGTTTTTGTTCTCTCTTGCACAAAAGAATAACTGCTGCATTTTCCGGAATATGGTCAGAAGACTATATACGTGTTTGAAAGTTGATATGGTGTGCTGCATGGACTATATAAAGATGATTTTTCCAAAATCGCTCTTTACCAGTGCGATTGCCACCCAGTGCGTTTGCCGAGATTACGTCGTTTCACCCCGGGCATGAGTCAACAAGAAAAGCTAAGACTGTCAGTGTACTGCTCTCAATCTCAATGCCTCCACGGCAGTGTTGAGAGGTACTTTAAGTACATTATACTTAAAGTACTACTTCAAGTAGGTTTTGGAAACTTGTACTTTATTTGAAGTACATCCTCCGAGTATGTATACTTGTACTTTACTTAACATATTTTTTTCTGGTACTTTCTGAGGAAAGTACAATTCCTAGACTTCAAAGTACAATCGTAAAATTTGGTTTTGCTCAATTTGTATCACAAAATGATGCTTTGTCAACTCTGAAGCGAAACTGGGAGGGATATTCTACTCTTACCAGAAACGTGAGCAGACGACGCATCACTCCATTTGTTCTGGTAGCGGCTTTCCCATAGCTTTCTGAACTCTCGCTACTTCTCGGTCGGTCAGCGCAAGCGAGGAGGTTTAAAATATTAGGAAAGCGAAATTAATCATAATGTAGCACCTGAGACTGTGGTGCGAAACAATTAAATTTTCAAGTTGAAGAAAAAGACAACAAAGGAAAACGTCACAATGTTTTGAGACATTCTCTTTTGTTTTTTCCTTCTATTTAAAAGTTCATGAATTTTTTTGCACTCCAATCTCAGGTGTCACATTATGATTAATTATCACCAGTGCGCTTGCACACTCACTGTTTTTTGCATTAAGGAGAGAACACTCCTTTATGAGAGGATTGCTTGCGGAAGCTACAGGGCTAACGTTATGCTCTCTCCTATTACATTTAGCCCCCTCGAGTGTAACATTCCAGTGCAAGGGGCGCCAAATTCAGAAGAAGGACTTCTGAATTTGGCTCCATTCCTGAAAATAACTACTCTGTGGCCACTTGACTTTATAAAATATTCGCCGCTGTTTTTGAAAATTGGCCATGCACCCCTGATTATCTCTGGGCCCTGGGCAATGCATACCAGTTAAAAAATCACTATATAGGGGAATGAAAGGGCATCATGAAAGACTGTGGCGCTCCCTGAAACACTTTACTTTGTAAGTACCGTATACATTCAAATATAAGTCAACTTTTTTTTTTTTTTTTTTTTCGGAAATGTTGTCAAAAATTAAGGGTTGACCTAGAATTGTGATTAAAGAATTTAGACCTACATTCGGGATCAAATTTTGCGACCCTACTGGGGGCATTAAGCCGTCGAGTCACCAAGTCGGCTTCACCGTGGAGCCGCGCCGCTTCTTGTTCCAAAAAGCTTTTGGTGCACGAAAAAAACCGAAACGGCAGCAGCTGAGCCTGCGGGGCTCTCGTGCACATCCCTCGGGCGTTGAGTTTCGCCATGGCGCCTATAGCATTCCCCTTGCTCGGCAAGGGGGAAGGGGAGGGAGAGGAACGCTAAGCGCCATGCACTTTGACCTCCATCCCTCTCCCTTGAAAAAGTGCAAAAAAAAACAACAAAAAAACAAACAAATGGAGGTTACTTTTGTTTGTTGTTTGCGGCGGCTTGCGGCGTTGCCAGCGTTACTCGCGTCTTTGTATTTGGTCTTTCGTCGTTTTGCCCGTCTCCACCTTCTTTCGTTTCTTCTTGTCGTCATTTTACAACGGTATCAGTGAGGTATTGTTGCGAATTTGAAAGGATGTCAGCCAAGCCGACAAAGTTTCGGACGACAATGACATGTCTAGAAGTTCTTACGATGATTAAGCTTTTGGCATCGCCCTGTGATTTAGCTGAGAGCTGTAATTTCGGATACTTTTGGCTTAAGGCTTGGATTGGGGTCTGCGGCTTCCCTATCTGTTACTAAATCTAGTATCTCCAACAGGATCTAGCCTAGTGTCATGCCTTCAATCCAATCCAAGGCTTGGACTGGATTTGTCGGCTGTTCTCTTTGCAGCTGGTAGCACGGTCTATATCGGGTGAGCAGAGCCGGCGCTCCGCTCTAAGCAGAATTTATTGCCTACTTTTCTGCCCCCAAGTCCTCAAGTTTTTGCTCAGGGCACTTGATGGCGTTTCCGGCTCATTTTCCCCGACTGGACTCGTCTTTTGACAATATCGCTGACAATTCCACGATTTTTCCCGGTAATTAAAATTTCCCTGACGATTCCCTGTTTTCCCGGTCGCTAGACACCCTGCTGATTGGCTCCGCTTTGTAAAACTTGCCTGCTGCGCAGCATGCGGTGTGATAGATCAGCTGTATATCATATGGTTGCAGCCCTAGCTCGCTCTCAAACATCCTAGGACGAATATTCCAGATAATGAGGGTAATAGATCGCAGCCTTGCCGACTCAATCGGAGACTCCAGCACTCTCGCGCAAGTCCGCTGTCACGCCGACACTTGCCGCTACATTCCTTCTCCTGTTTCTGGCACAAGTTCGCCAAATGAGCCTTTATTTTCAGTTTTATGCTAGTCTATCCTCTTTTATGTGTAACAATATAGCCCCATAAAGGCAATCTTTCCAATGCTCCCGGGTGTTTCTGTCAAATAACCAGAGTTTTCAGGGCTCTCTCCGATTGCCTTGGCAAAAATTCTCCGATCCAATTGTAAGAGGTCGAGAGACCTAAAATCATCACTACACTTTGTTTCACTTTACAAAGAAATGCAGCATACGCTGCAAAGCACCTTAGCCAATCCACTAGTGCAAATGCATCACATGATACTTGCACAGCACTGAATTATCTTCGATGGCTCATGGTGTCCTCTGCAGCCTATTGTGAGGTGAAGCGGAATATGGTAGCAAACAAGGGGCTCCAAGCTGGACGCTCGGCAAGAAAGTCGCGAAGACCGCTGTGATTGACCTGCACACTGGCCAATTGCAGGGGTCAGAAATTGTGCAGACCGCACAGTCTCTGGTTTTAAACTTCATGACAGATTTTCTTGCCGAGAGCAAAATTTTAGCGGCCCAGGCCTTGGTGAGGTGGCCAGGGTTATTTGCGCATGTCTGCACGGAAAAGCACACTGGAGGGGAACATACTTTTGCATGATAGCCAGAGATCCCCCCGGTCTTATCAGCTCGAGTTCCTAGAATTTTGCATACTCACTACAACCGCCTGACGACTGCCTGCACAACCTAGACCCAGCAGATCCCTGTAATGCTCAAAGAACTACCCTATGGGTTTTAGGCTACACCTCCATACTGGTCGTCGCACCCAGCATACTAGCCTTAGAAGTAGGGTTCCGTGTTATTGGAGTTTACTTCCTTTTAATTTCAGAGGGTGTTTTTCGGAGTTTGTTTTTCGCTGAAAATTTGGGGTTTGCCGGAGTTGTCTAGAATCAAAATTCTCCAAAGTTTTGAGTAATATAGTACACACTAAATTCATAAGAGCTCGTGTATCGAATGGTGTCTTGCAGCTGCACAAGAAACTGAGGTAGAGGAGGAGAGGAAAGCAAGGGGGGGGGGGGGGGACGTCAGAGGACCGAGCTCTGATTGGAATGATTAGTGGGTAGACCTAAAGCCAGCTAAATGTCTCCACTGCACTTGTCAAACGCGTTTGAATGAGAGAGCCAAATGCCACACACCGGCATTCCGCATTCTAACACTTTCGATAAGAGTAGTGAAGACAAAAGCTGCCTTTGTTTCCACTGCACTCATCGAAAGCGTTAGAACGTGGAATGCTGGCATCTGGCTCTCGCATTCGAAAGCGTTCGACGAATGCAAAGGAGTTGTCGTCGCAAATATTTCAGAAACAGCCAATTCTCGGCAAACCTCTGTCGTGATAAGTGTGAAATCTAGGCTTAATGTTTCTTATTTTTATACCTTTAAATTCTATGTCCGATTTTTGACCATTGATTGTTTCAGAGCAGAATCCAGTCCCATGTATTAGTCGATTACAACGCCCCTAGCAATGGTTTGTTTGGAGCAGTGACGTCACACTACTTTGGAGCAGTGATGTTTCCAGAGTATTGAATTCGATAGCGTCCGCTGTGCCTGTTCTATTTTTAGCTTTAATCGGCCATTTTGGCACCAAAACATGTACGGTAGAAGGGGTTTCGGGGATGCCAACCTCTCGTCTCCTAAGCGAACGTGCCGCAAATTACCACCGAAGTTAGTATGCGCCCAGGTCGGGACGCACTACCTGAAATCACCGGTGAGACATGGATGCATGAAAACAATATTAATTGTGCCAAAAAAAACCTCACAAACTAAAATTTGATGAAAACATCATGCTCCAGTTATTTTGCACTAATCTATGATAAAAGTTTCTATAAAAAGAGCCTTTTCCGTTTGTTTTTACGAAATTACATGCTTTCAAAGTGCTCATGGACCACAGTAAAAAAGAAGAACAAAAAGATTGAGCCGCCATCTTGGTGCCATCGAGCCTGGGAGTTTTGGTCCTGTGGGAACATTCAGCAACTCCCCTAAAAGGACACATGCAAAGGAAAAAACATTTTTTTTTAAACAGGCTAGATGGAAAAAGAATATTATAAAACAAATTTACAACGAAGAAAAAAAAATTTAGTTATATTCACGGCGCAAAAAAAATTTTTAGTTGGCGCCGCGGGAGCCGTTGCTGGTCACGTGGTAGGCCCGCGCGCCGCCGCGCTGGGTCGCCGCCGCAGCAAAGTCATGCCGCCTCCACACGCCGAGCGTTGCGAGACGCAGCTTCAACGCGTTTCTCCACACCGCCGTCGCCGCCTCTGCACAAGTTCGTCTGCTTCGGGGCGCCACCACCGTCATCGCACAGGTCTATCACGTCTGCTAGCGCTTTTTCAGGAGTTTCCTTTGGGCTCTAAAAGTTACTTATTAATCATAGTTTCTTTGTTATACTTCAAACAAAGATGAATAAGTTACTTTTAGAGGCCATAGGAAGCTTCCGAAAGAGCGCAAGCACCACGTGATAAATAAGGGCCAATTTTCCGCGGCGCCTGCGGGCGCCAACTACAGATTTATATAGTGCCGTAATTATAGCTCTAAAATTTCTTTTCTTTGTTGTAAAATTGTCTTATGAGATCCTTCTTCCATCTAAGCTGTTTAAAAAAAATCTTTTTTTCCTTTGCATGTGTCCTTTCAGGCCACCAACCCCGTGCTCTCATGCAATTTGTTTGAAAATACCATCACTTTTGCTTTTTATTTGGCAATCGTGACCTCGAAATTCAGTTATTTTTAATAAATCAGAATTGACGAAAATTTTACCTGCGAGTGCTTTTCAGATTTTTTTTAGATTTATCCCAAAATGCGGGTCCCCACTTATAAGTCTAGTTCCGCATTTAAAGTAAATGGGCCACAATCCGAAAAGCATTTTCCGGTAAAGATATCGTGGACTTAGATTTATCCAAAGAATTCCGAGTTTGGGAACCCGCCACGAATTTTTCAACTGGCGATGGAAATGCCGACCACGTAATAGAATGTTTCCAAGGTGATTTTCTTATAACTCAAAGCCCCATTAATTTGAATTCTACACGCCACAAATAAAGCTATGGAAAACTTGAGGTTGCGGTAAGAATAGACTCCGAAAATGCGGAACTAGCACATGGAAAAGCACGAGTGTGATGCCCTTGATAAGATAGGCAAAAATAAAACATTGCCCAGAACAATGAATTGCCACCATACTCCGTTTCACCTTCAGTCCGAGCGCAGTGGACGCCACGAGCCATCCCAGCCGATCCAGCGCCGGGAGAAAGGCGCGTGACCTGCCGGTGGGGCGGGGCGACACAGGGAGCTCAAGGTCGCATGACACTCCCTCAACGCCGCATTGGCTGGGATGGCTCCTAGCGTCCGCTGTGCTCGGACGGAAGGTGAAACGGAGTATAGACAGTTCTCCTTTCCTGGCACGCTATTACGTGGTGCGATTAGAACACTCTTCCCGCACACTCTCCCCATACATCCCATTTAATCAACGCAAAACCGCCTCAATTTGCACTGCAGCGTGGCCTATGGGGCCTTCGTATTCTCCAACAGGAATGCTCAAGTTATTTACAACAATAATCACAACCTCAACCATAAAATACAAAAAAAAAAGTTCAATTATGCAAATGTATTTTTTTTCCAGTAAGTTTCTGTGAAGCGCACACCCTCTCTCCCCAGCCTTGCTTCCCGCTGTCTCTATTCTTGGAGAGAACCGTCCCTTCATGAACAACACTGTTGGCACCCACTTTCCGCACATTTCATAGATTTGGCATTGACAGCATGGGGCATAAAAAGCAACGAAAACCGATACGAAGGCACAATGCCAATGTGTTTTGCCGAGCGGAGTCCTGCTGGGCAGCCCCTTAATTTGTAGTTGGAGGACAAACAGCCACGCGACGCTCATTGTGCGAAAAAGGTGTATTGTAAACCTCGTCACGACGAGCCAAACTGGCAAGACCACCCACATTTTGTCGGCAAAGGTGTCCCGCAGGATTGTGAGGCCCAGGCCAAGACCCGAGTCGTTAATGACGACGTCCGTCCTGGCTTCGCCTTCCTGGGATTCGCTCTCAGCTGCTGAATCTGCACGGAAATAGTTGCATTTCAGCTCACTCATAACTGGACTGCAGGCCTTTCCGGCAAGCGAGTTCACCTGCTGTTTGCGCCGAAACATCGAAGGTAGGAAACTCTCGACGGACACACAATTTTCTCAGACGTCTAGATATATGCGCTAAAATAATGGCACGCTGCTAATGAGGCTCGCTGTCTACTTTCCTACAGAGTACGGGTACCGTAGATAGTTCCAGTGATCTACGAATAACGATGGTTGGTTGCATGATCTCACGAATGACGTGCAAGGACATTCTGTGCATCATCATTTGTTTCATAGGCAAAGGTGATTGGCTAGCAAAGCTATGCCTGGACTGGGTCAATGCCTGGCTTTGCAACATTTGGGCTAAAACAAAGGGGTTGGGCCAAAGAGTTGTGTTCAGTCAATGAGCGCACGAAAATAAAACTTGATTACAGGAAGGCTCAAGGCAGATTTCCTTCATAGCCGTGCACCCACCTCCAACTATTTTTGTCAATGAAGCAGGAAAAAAGGCAATTATAGAATGATCTGTAGTCGATTGCACTAGGCCACTGGAGTCAAAAAAAGAAATGCAATACTATTGCTGTTTACATACAGAGAAGATAAAAAAAAAAAAAAATTGAGGGGTGAATCTTACATGCTTGAACATAATTTTTCACGCTCAATTCCTGCTAAACAAGAAAAAAACAACAACACCCCAGTCTAAAAGCATGCATAGACAACTTCAGACACTTTAGGAGAAAAGTGTAGACTCGTTTAGTGGTAGTACCTTTCTCGACAGCACCCGCAGCCCCATTTCCCTGAAATGAGGAAAGCATTATTTCAGCAACAAAATAATTTCAAAGCAGTTGGAGCAAAAGAAATGTAATGAAACTAAACTGGAGGAAGCATAACAAATTGAGCATTGGGGTTTATGTGACAAGTCAACAAACAATCTACTACACCTTCCAGAAACAATTCTTTCCTAGACTGCCAGATTCTACCTACTTCAACCGGAAACATCCTGCAGAATGATTCCAAATATGCAAGTGGTTCTAGCCCAAAAACGACGAGCATTCAAAATGTTTGCACGCAAATAAAACCCCAAAAGCCCCAACAGTCTCGTTTTTCTGTAACCAGATCAGCGTTGACAGCAAAAGATTTCTGTAAGAACTGGTAGCTCCAAAAGAAGCAACGTGATTGCAAGTGCGGTGGAAGCACACGTAGCAAGCTGTCACCCCTAAAGTCCCTTGATAAAACTCGCGCTTACAAGTACGCCTACCACTGTCGTGGAAATGCGCAAGACATGTGCCACGAGCGGGTGCTCCGCCGCCATTTGCTTCCAAGGGCCGCTCGAGACACGGGTCTCATGCACCGACGCATCTGACGCTACTTGAAAGACAAACGAAAATGCATCAAGGGACTTTAGTCACCCTAAGTGGCAAAACTGATTAGCAAACAGGGAAAATCGGCGCCAAGTCGACATTAAGCTGGACTTCGTTTCACTTTAAGCGCGTGGGTAGCAGAAGCCACAAAAGCAAACTTCAGGCATTTTCGGCGTCCTAGCAAAGCAAGCACACCCGTGCGGTGTAAGCATGGTTCGGGCAAGGTGCTCGTAACGGGTCTTTGACCAGTGCCTTTGCCCTGTCTTAAAAAGTGGTTCCTCCATTTCTGCACGGCGACGTCGCTGAAGTGTCACGCTGTTGCCAGCCACGATCCCGGTGCAGCGGTGGTAGATCTGGCAAACGCCCGCTTTGCTGCAGTCCCCCTCCGGCTTGCATGGAGGTAGGAAGCTTCTGGAGGCAACATGACACCACCAAAGGTGAAGCCAGAAGTGTGGAGGGACACGCCTACGACGACGACCAAAATCAAGAGATGCTATTGGACGAAAAGGGGGGCTGACTTGGCGCCAACAGCCGTCACCCTCGGGGCTATAGTCGTTGTTGGGGGAGTGCCCTTCATACTTCTGGCTTCACCTCAGGTGGCGTCACGTCGCCTACAGAAGCCTCCTACGTCCAAGCTTGCTTGACAGACCACGGAAGCTTCGGCAGCCAGGAGTCGAGACTCCGCGACAACAGTGACATTCGAGTTTGATCAGTTTCGGGACTCCTAGCACCACGTCCTAGTACCACGACAGCGGACAACAAGACACGCCGGCTTCTACGACATCGTCCGTTGCCACTTTGGGACAACTTGTAATGCGTGGGTGGGAGGGGACGTTAAACACACCGGTCTGAAGACTCATTCCAGGTGCCACGGCTCAGGGCAACGTGCCCGCACGCGACGCTTCGGCTCGAAAACAAACTACGAAAGAGCATGCCGTTCTCAATTGTAAAAAGCCAATACCTGGTCAGCTTCCCCTCCGGCCGGAATGGGCTCCTCGGGCTGGTCTTCTCTCAGAGCCGGGGAGTGGGATCCATGACTCCGGGACGACCCTGCCTGCAAGTCTCTACGGTGCCTCATGGGAACAAACGCAGAAAACAACGGGAAGACGTTGTTTTCCGAGAAAACGTCTTCTTCCCGGAAAAAGACCTTGCGGGGAGACCGAAGTGTGGCCCCTCTTGAAATGCCAGGAACGGTGCCTGGTAGGGGAGTGCTTGACATGAGCGCCGCCTGCCTCGCGGCAGCGGGACCTGACTTGCCCGCGGGTGGAGATATGGGCGAGGGCAACTCTAACGTGAGCTGCCTCCTCTTTGATGGCCGACTCCCTTCCCAGGACCCCTTTGGATCGGTACCACCGTCGGAACGACTCGCTCGGCTACGAGGCGAGCGGATCTTGGGAATTTTGGAAGCCGCCGAAGATGGACTTTTCTCGAGCGATGCGGTGTGATGAGAGCCGGCGGCTGAAGCAGCTGCGGCTGCGAGCTCCTCGGGAGACGCTTCATCATCTCGACTGCTGACAGCGGGACGCAAACCCATTTGAGAGGCGTCGGCAGGCGAAGAGACTGGGCTCGCTTTTCTCGAGCTGGCAAACGTCAGGGACCTCTTTGATGTGGATCTGTTGGCCCTGTGCAGCGTACCTGGTGGTGGCTCTGCATCTTCCTACACATGGGGAGAGAAGCGTTGCATCAGATGCACAAGACTGCTAAGAGTATGAAGAGGGAAAAATAGTCACCAAGAAAGCCCACCTATAATCACTGCACTGACAGAACGAGAGTGACCTCATGCCCAGCCTACAGCGTGTGCATATTCCCTTCCGTTGTGCTTTAGCGATTTGTGCTATCGGCAAGGCAAGTATTAACAGAATGCAGACGCGTTCAGCCAGCTTCCTCTGCCAGACAGAAAGGACGAACCGGCACCACCAGGTGATGTAATCTTGCTAGAAGCCATGGAGAGTCCACCCCTCACAGCTCAACAATAGCAAGTCTCACTTGAGATAGCCCGGTTCTGTTGCAATTGCGCAAGGGACTGCAAGACGGCACAATGGCCAAGTAGACAGAAGACGAGTTCACGCCGTACAAGCGTCAGAAACTTGAGTTGGCAACACAAAATGGTTGCGTAACTTGAGGAGTATGTGTTATACTACAAGCAGTGCGCAAGCAAGCCTTGAAGACGCTGCACGTAAACCATCCAAGCATGGTGGCAATGAAAAGCACTTCCTAAAGTTTTTTCCGGTTGCGGATGAAATAAATCAGGGGTGGAACTCATGAAATTTACTTGGGAGCAGCCACGGGAGCAGCTAAAAAAGCTGTTTTGTAGCAGGTTGGGAGCAGCTAAAACTATGTTCTGAAGCAGGCTAAGAGCAGCTCAGATCAGTTTTCATTGCACTTCAGCTTGTGTCTTAGACAAGCACGGGAGCCATTTCAATTGTGCTTAGCAGTACAGATGAGCATGAGTGGTTAAGGACCTAGGTAGATGGGATAACAATGTAACAGATGCGAAAACTTGAAACTTTGTAAGCCTTAATGAGAATAAAAAAAAAACGTATCTCCACGTGGTGAATGATGTTGATTGGGGCAAAGCTCTGGTGGTGCTTGTCTGCGTAGCCGCTGAGCCGCAGCAAGCCGAGCCTTTTGTTCGTTTTCATCCATGTCACGCTGCCATCAAATGCTCAAATGCGTATATAACCACGTTCCATACCACACCTTCTCTTTCTGACATGGATGAAAACGAACAAAAAGGCTCGGCATGCTGCGGCTCACCGTCTACGCAGACAAGCACCACCAGAGCTTCGCCCCAATCAACATCATTCACCCCGTGGAGATGCGGTTGTTTTGTTTTTTTGCCCTACACAAGCACGGGAGCACGTGCTCACGTGCTCGCGAGCACTTGAGCGCGTGAGCTCACGAGCAGGAGCACGTGCACCCGACGGCGGGCGGACATACGGACATGGCTAGCCCCTAAGGAGCTTCGCCCCTAAAAGCAAGTACCCTATGTTTCTGAAGATAGCGTCCCTGATATTTTCTGAGTGGCTTTCAGATGCAAACCGGCACTGCTTATCGCACAGCCCACACGTGCTCGACATAGTAATTTTATGTGCGAACCACGTGACGTGCGGAAGCAACGGACGTGCAGTTGCACGGAGGAACAGGGCAACAAATTTTGAGTTTATCCTATTGTGCAACTCGATATCAAAGCACCAGACTACGATTATTAAGTTATCGTATTTTAAGCGATAAGCAGGAGCAAGGTTAAAGTATGCCGAGCAAATCAACCGCTCGCGTAAGAGCTGCTGGCCGGCAAGGTTTCGGATCAAACCGCGTTTCAGTTCTATCATATCAGGATTTATTGTGCGAGAATGCGGTTCCAACTTCTAACGATGAAGTACTAAAAGGAATATTTTGTTCATTTTCTTTCAACTGGATGACGTCCGGATCCTGTGCCACAGAGCCTCAGGCAATCTGACGCTTAACGACTCGACCTCACCTCGGCCGACTTGCTTGACCGCTTATGGTTGAAGAATAACAATCCAGTCGCAGCTGGTGTAGCGCTTAGAATCAGAGTTTTTTCGCGTGCTTCCGACTTGAGATACACAGGGAGAATAAACAGAACGAAGGATTACAAGGCCGACCAAGCTAAACACGCTCATTGTTAGCAATCGACTTGATGGAAACCGAAACCAAAGCAAAATACAATTTTTTTGGCGCACGCTTTGCGATTTGATGCATAATGGCGCAAGGTATTGGCTGTGGCGCAGTTTTTGCAACAAGGCGCAGGATGGTGCAAACAAATGCGTCCGGTGCAAAATGGCGCAAATGGCGCAGCCGTTCCACTCCTGTAAATGCACTTACCCGGAGTATGTAAAAGTCCCTTGGAGTGCGATTCGCGTAATGAGTGTCGATGAAATGTTAGTGTCAAGAAAAAGTTGTCCACGAAAACATGTTTTGTTTGCACAACAATTTGTTGGCAGTACTAATAAGAAACATGAAGCCCGAATACACCTTTTCTAACACCATGGTTCCGAAGGTTCCGACATGAAAACATGTTTGCATTCCATAGATTCATGAACAACCACGAGGGCTAGGTTGGACATTTACAGGTACATCTTAAAAAAACACCGAAGGGACTTATCGGCATCTGATCGGCGGAGGCAAAAGTGGTGCAAAGCTATCGATAGTAAAAAAACTATCAATAGTCGACTATAGAAAAACTATCGATAGTCGAATATCAGAAAATTATCGTTAATCAACAATCAGAAAACTATCAAAGGCCGACTATCGTAAACCTATCGATAGTACTGTCAACAGTTTACTATCAATAGTTTTGCGACACTAGTAGTTTGCGTCGCTCCCTCTTCTCTTTTTTTCGCTTTATTTTTTCAAATAGGACACCAGCTAGCCCAAGCACTTACCATCCCAACTTTGGTTCAGCTTTTAGTGATGATGAAGACGGGAGTTTGGGCGAAGTGAGGAGGAAGAGAGGTGAGCGGCGGTTCGGCAACTGTGTTCGCTCTGCTAATGCAAAACTATCAATAGTACTATCAATAGTATCGATAGTCGCCAGAAATCTGACTGTCGATGGTAAAGAACTATAGATAGTACTATGGATAGTCGACTATCCGAAAACTACCAATAGTACTATTGATAGTCCACTATCGATAGTTCTGCAACACTATTGACAGTTCTGTGACACTATCGATAGTCAATTTATCAATAGTTTTGCATCACTAGAAGGCAATCCTCCACCAATCAGACACCAATAGGTCACTTCCGTGACCTGTCATGACATAGGTGTAAATGTCCAACCTAGGTGCGATGACACGCTTCCAAGCGAGGCTCGTGCAATTGCTGGTGGTGTGCATGCGCGTTCTCTGCCTGAACGCCTCGAACCAGCGATATTCGAAAAAGGTGGACTTTATCAAGGGGCTTTAAGCTATAGACCGACACGCGGGCTTGACGTCACGGAGCTGCGGCGCCGCTGCGATCGCGCTTCGGCGCTGCGATCGCGCCGAAGCTGGGTGGTGTGGGCAAAAGCGCGCCCGTTTTGCATAGGCGTAATAGCATTTCAGTATGCCGTGAAGCTGTGTAGCCGTTAATTGCACCGAAAGGTACAGAAACATTAGTGGAGTGAGTTTCCACAATTGTCCGGCGAACTCTGAAAGGTACAGAAGGTGCGTAATATTCGTGTATCGAAGAGAACGGTCGCCTTGCACGAATGACTGTTTGTGCGGCAAGCAGTTTCTTGAAGGCAAGTGCGGCTTCCATTTCAATCTCCGTTTCGAGGCTTGCTGATGTTCAGGGAAACCGTAGTCTGATCAAGACCACCCGGATTTTGTTCCCACGGTGTTCGCGCACAAAGCACCGGCCAAGCACTCGTCGGAGGCTCGCTACGCCCGTGCTACCAAGCAGAAGGGGATCGGCGACAGAACAGCAGTGTTCCAGGCGTTACAGAAAAAAATAACGAAATATGTTACTCGTTACTTGCAAATAAAAGGTAAGTGTAACCGAGCTACGTTACCTAAAAATAAAAGGAATGCATTAGCGCTACCGATAAAAAGTAATGCACATTACTTCTGCGTGACTTTTTAAATTACTGTTTTAACGATACAGCTATGCATAAGCTCATATATCAAGAAATATTATACTCATGCAAAAACGGAACATAATTACTTTGTCCTTTTTACGGTCTCGCCTAAATACTCACGAGAAAAAACGCAAAGAAAAACGCAGAAAACTTAGAAATTTACATGGCCTGACGCCTAAAAACACAAAAACAATTTAAGTGTAATTTTTTTAAGACTTGGGAAGTAGTAACAAGTAACGTAACTACATTACTTGAAATGGTAATGTAAGTACGCTACCCGCTACTGTGTCGAAAAAGTAATAAGTAGCTATACGTTACTGAAAAAAGTAATGCGTCCCTGGCAACGCTGTTACTTCTTTTGTGTTACCGCGAAGATTGCAGAACGGACAAAGCGTTACTGCTTGTCATGCCTTGTGGTCATGAGGGTAGGAAAAACATCATATCATGACTTGAAGACGCTGTGCATATTTAATCAATTAATAAATACACTTCCGCGGACCCACAGTCTGCTGATCCTGCCGGCAGTGCGGAAACCGACTCACCTCGAGAGACTTGACGTCTGCACTGAGTCAGCCGTGAACTGGCTTGGCAAAAAAAACTAACTAAACGACGACGTGAGTCGTCGACTTCGGTGGCAGCAACTTCACGTCGGAAGTCCAGCACACCTTGTTTGCGGCGAACGGATCCTCGAAGGCAACGCCGTCCACGCAGTTTGTTTCGATACTGCTGCCATTCAGGCTCGGGTAGCGAGCTCAAACAGTCGGGCGTAGCATACGACATACGTTGTCAGGAAATACAACTCACAAATAAACCTAGAAGCGTCCTTACAACGTCAAAAACAAGTGCACGTCACACGATGCAATGACGGAAACACGGAGAGCCGGGCCGCTTTTGCCCACATAGCTCCCACGCATGCGCGGCCTTCCGGCCGTGTTGGTAAGCAGAGCCACTCCGCGCGTCGGTCTATATATGCCTCGCACACCATCATATGGCCCTGTACCATGCTCCTGTGCTCATACTACATTTCACAGCATACATTTGGCACCATCGAATTTGTTCTCGCCAATGCTTGCCGAGAA